AAGCTGACTGGCCCCCCGCCCCCCCAAAACAAAAACAGACAGCAACAGTTTCACACCCAACTCCAAAGCTGACTGGCCCCCCTTCCCCCTTCACAGCCCGGAAGCTGACTGGCCCCCCGCCCGCCCCAAAACAAAAACAGACGGCGACGACGACGACGAACAGTTTCACACCCAACTCCAAAGCTGACTGGCCCCCCTTCCCCCTTCACAGCCCGGAAGCTGACTGGCCCCCCGCCCCCCCAAAACAAAAACAGACAACAACAGTTTCACACCCAACTCCAAAGCTGACTCGCCCCCTTCCCCCTTCACAGCCCGGAAGCTGACTGGCCCCCCGCCCCCCCAAAACAAAAACAGACAGCAACAGTTTCACACCCAACTCCAAAGCTGACTCGCCCCCCTTCCCCCCTTCACAGCCCGGAAGCTGACTGGCCCCCTGCGCCCCCCAAAACAAAAACAGACAGCAACAGTTTCACACCCAACTCCAAAGCTGACTGGCCCCCCTTCCCCCTTCACAGCCCGGAAGCTGACTGGCCCCCCGCCCCCCCAAAACAAAAACAGACAGCAACAGTTTCACACCCAACTCCAAAGCTGGAACTCGCCACCCTTCCCCCTTCACAGCCGGAGCTGACTGGCCACCCGCCCCCCCCCAAAACAAAAACAGCAGCAACTGTTTCAACAACAACTCCAAAGCTGAGTGAGGTGGTGTGTGCTGAGTGCGGTACATGATGGTGAGTGAGTGAGTGAGTGAGTGAGTGAGTTGAGTGAGTGAGTGAGTGAGTGAGTGAGTGAGTGAGTGAGTGAGTGAGTGAGTGAGTGAGTGAGTGAGTGAGTGAGTGAGTTTGAGTGAGTGAGTGAGTGAGTGAGTGAGTGAGTGAGTGAGTGAGTGAGTGAGTGAGTGAGTGAGTGAGTGAGTGAGTGAGTGAGTTTGTGAGTGAGTGAGTGAGTGAGTGAGTGAGTGAGTGAGTGAGTGAGTGAGTGAGTGAGTGAGTGAGTGAGTGAGTGAGTGAGTGAGTGAGTGAATCAATAATTCAATCAAGCAAGCAAGCAAGCAATCAATCAGTCAATCAATCAATCAATCAATCAATCAATCAATGAATGAATCAATTAATCAATCAATCAATCAATCAATCAATCAATCAATCAATCAATCAATCACTCAATCAACCAATCAATCAATCAATCAATCAATCAATCAATCAATCAATCAATCAATCAATCAGTCTATTTGTCTATTTGTCTACCTTCCACCTAAGTATGATTTTTCCTTTCTCTATCCATTTATTTACTTTTTTCCTTCTCTTTTTTTTCTCCTGTTTATCTATCTATCTATTTGTCGACCAATCTTTCCATCTATTTATCTATGTGTCTAATCCTCCCTTCCAATCTGTCATCTGGCTATGTTTTCTATCTTCTTTCTACCTTAACAATCTTGTCAGAATCTTGTGTATCTACTTCAGCTATCTTTCTGTGTGACAGATTGGTCTGCATTCCTATTTATCTATCTATTTACTCATGTCGCCAAAAAAAGCGCGCGTCCGCGCCAATGGTCCCGGCTCCGAACCCGTTCCACCGTTCCGCGCCCGCGAAAAACAAGCATCCCGCCAAAGGTGGTTTGCGCTTCCCCCGAACACGCGAGACACGCGCAGGGCGCTCACTTTGAGCACTTTCTATCCAATCAGAACACCTGTCATCTCTTCTTTTTGCCTCGCTCTTCTCCGCTTCTCTTCTCTTCGCTTCCCTTCTCCTTCCGCTTCTCTTCTACTTTTTTGACGACGGCCGTTTCTTCTTTTCTTTCCTCTTCTCTTCTTTTCTCTTCTTCCGCCGCTCTCATCGTTTTCAACAGACAGCTCGCTTTCGCTTCGATCCAGTACTCCGGAAGCATCTTCGTTTCTTCGTTTGATTATTCAGATTCATAGTTGATCTGGCAGGTTCAGGGGAGGTTGCTTCAAATATTCTGCCTGATTTTTTTTGATTTAGTCCAGATCCTGCATCCGTACCTCATCCTCATCCAGGGTTTTTACTATTTCAATATTGCGAGTTCTCTCCATCTCGGGCGGCGCATGTTTCCTTGTTTGCAGTTTGAGCAGAGTGTTCCTGCACTTGGGTTTGATCTTTGTTCCTTGATTTTGAGTGTGACATGCGCATTCTGTCAAGGCGCCGAAGACAACATGACGCGTTGGGGGGTTGATCTTCAATACAAACGCGAATGTCGTTTTGACGATGTCCTATTGCTGCTTGAGAACTCAGTGAGCGGCGTTTCAAGCAATAAAATGCCTGTTCGGAGCAACACGTGCCGGAAGGGGGTCGGTGAGGACGATCGTTTGCTTGGCAACACATGACAACACTTGGACTGTTGCGATGCATTGGGCTCAGGATTTGGCTTAAAAGAGTTGGCCGGAATGAACAAATCTGGGGAGCCCGTCATTTTGGATCCTCGAGATGCTTTGGCTGCGCGGGACTTGGCACTTGATCCGAACTTTCGTCGAACAGTCAGTGCTGAGGTCAGCAAGTGCCAGGTGGTTATGGCTCCGCCTAAGGCCCGCGCTTCAAATTTGCATCGTTTCTTCTTGTTTTGCAGTTGCGGCAAAGCGGTGTTTGTTATGAGCAGTGCTGAAGCCAACATTTGTTTGCGCTAGTCAGAACGAAGGCACGGATAGGCAAGCCTTGGTCACGAGCCAAGACTTGCACCCTGACAGGGCGTGCCAACCACGGCGGAGAATTGGCGGCCTTTGTGGAAAAACCAGAGCAATCCGTTTCAGTTCGTTGGCATCTCAGAGCTCCGTAAGATTCGTTCTCGGTACCATTTCTGCTGGCTGAGGACCGCCAATACTTGCAGGCCATCGAGCTAGCGCGGCTCCGCGCATCCGAAAAGCAACAGGAGAGGAGGTGGGGCCGCGACAGATTCCCTTCCTCCCACATTTCAAGAATCGCCAACTCCGCCAAATCCGGCTCAGCGTGAGAAACGGCGTCATGGGCGCCATGGAGCCCTCGGCACCTCGCCCTCCGCGCCCTCCGCGCCCGCGCTCGCGACGGCGATGTGCCCGCGAAAGCGGTCGAGGGGTCCGCGGCTTTTCGAGTCGCCGGAGTACCACTTCTCGGATCTGCGCGCCGACGACGTGGTCCAGGGCCTCACGTGGCGCGACGAGCGCCTGGGGGAGGGCGCCTTCGCGCAGGCCCGCGGGGTTTGGGGCGCGGCGTCCAGAGGAAAGGAAGCCCAACCAAAAGTCCCACTTGGAGTGAGGTCGGACCAGGGCTGTGCACTTTGCCAAGGGATGTTAGGACTGAACAACTTCTTGCCAAGTAATGGTTTTTCCAGATGAAACCACGGAAAGTTAAAAGCTTTTAGCAGGGCAGAAAGCAACCGCGAGGGGGTTGGCCCGGAACTGTGACCCCAAAAAATAGGGAGTTGGACGAATGAAAGGTGCTGAAGTGCTGGTCCCCGAAGCATGGCTACGTGGCTGTGAAGGCGCGGAGGAGCTTTTTTTGATACGCCCAGTGGCCACGTTTTCTAAAAAGCACAGCTGCGTCGCCAAATCGATGCCAAGAAGTGCTGAGGGTTGTTTGCACGCACAAACATTGCTGGAAGGTGCTGAAGCACAGAAGCTTTTGCGAAGAAGTCAGCCTAGAAGCCGAAGCAGAAGCCGCGATTCTGAGAAGTCTCGCCCACCCACACATTGCGCCGTGGCATAGCCCAGCAGTGACTATAGATCAAAGTGCTTTGTGTTGAGAGGTTGTTATTTGTGTGAACATGCCCCCGTGGTTTGTTTCCTGAGCTCACCCAAAACCCCATGCACCATGGTTGACATCCGTGTGACAGGGGCAACAAAAACAAATTACCACATGTCTTCTTATGGTGCCTGAAAGACAAGCCGGTCAACTTCTGGTTTCATGACCATCGGACTACCCCCGTTTGGTGTGAGACTTTGAAATCGCGTCCATTCGATTTCGTGGAGATCTATGGCTGTGGGTCAAAACCAATGGTACCATTTTGGTTGGTAGGTGAATTCACCACCCATTTTAGAACCTATTCTAGTGGTTGGATTGGGATGCTTTTTCTGGGACTTTGACCCATGGGCCTATGAGTTACGAGGTGCGGATGCTGGACTTCTTCGAGCTGGAGGGCCACGTGTGTCTGGCTCTGGAGCTGCTGGGGCTCACTCTGCTGCAGCTCTTGGAAGGTCACGTGCAGGGCTTGCGCCAGGAGACGGTGAAGGATCCCGTGGCGAAAACATAGCCGCATGGAAACACCAGTGGAAAAAAAACGAGCACATGGGTGTGGCTCAAAATTGGACAGCTGGGGCAAACCGCAGGTTTTGGTCCAGGTTTTTCCACTTGCCAGGGTTCCACAGCCACATGGGGACCGCAACTGGAAGCTCTCCCTTAAAAGCGAACGAAGGAAAGCTCTAAACGCTGCATCCTCCTGGGTCAAGGTCCAACTCTTTTTGGGGTTCCCGTGTCTTTCTTGGAGGCTGGGTGCACGTTTGAAGGGTTGGTCTGCAGGGACATCAAAAGGACCAAGCCCGATTTCAGGCCTTCCCCCCTATTTTTTCCAATTTTTCTTCATGCGGTTACTTCGGGTCCCCCTATGTTTGCCACCCATTTTCCCTTCAGGTGGTTGGTTTGGGGTGATCCATTCTTTTTGGTTTTGGCGCCAATCATTTATCCAGGTTGCCCCCAATTCCCCCCCCCCCCCTTGTTGGCACCATCTTCCCCAAGAATAAAAACATTGGCACCATTTTTTGGCACCATCTCCTCCCATGTTTGGCACCATGTTTGGCACCATGTTTGGCACCATGTTTGGCACCATCCCCGGCACCCTCCCCCATTTTCGGGCTCCACCCTCCCCCCAGGCCCATTTTTCGCACCCCTCGATATTTTTTTCCTTTTCCGCACCCGGGGTTTCCCGCTCGCTGCTCCGAGAAGAGAGCGCCGCTCGCGTGAGGAGATCGCGCGGCAGGTGCTGCTGGCGCTGGAGTACCTGGGCCGCCTTGAGCTGATCCACGGGGACCTCAAGCCCGCGCCGCGGCAAAAGCTGAGAGAAGCGAAATGGGGGGGCCGGAAACAAAAGGAGAAGAAGGGCACCCGAAGAAGAATGGGGGATATGGTGTATGGAGTTTTTTTTTTTTTTTTTGGGGGGGGCAAAACCAGGGGGTGAAATCGGGCGGGGGGTGACGGGGGGGGGGGGGGGGAGACACGAGGAGGGAAGGGCGCCCAAGATAAAAGGGGGATATGGGGATATGGGGTATGGGGTTGGTTTTGTTTTTAAGGGCGGAGGGGGGGGAGGGGCGAAACAATAGGAAAGAACAGCTTGGGCAAGAGGGGCATGGCACTCTTGTTCTCATTGGTGGAAGAAGCGAGGAGCCAAACATGGGTATGGCACTCTGTTTAGTTTTTTTGAAAAACGCGAGAAACCGAACGTGGGTATGGTTTTCAAGGGAAAGCAGCAAGACACAATCCCATTTTTCAGGGGGACCTCATTTTTGGTAGAGGGAAACTGAAAGGAACACCGCCGCATCATGTTGGGGGGGGGTCCCGATTCTAAAGAAAGATGCACCCAAATTCAACCCCCAAATGACAAGGACCGAGTTGCGATGAAGCTGGGAAAGGCTAAAGGGTGGATTAACATCCCCTGGGATTCGATGAAGCTGGGAAAGGCTAAAGGGTGGATTAACATCCCCTGGGATTCAACGACCATAAAAGCACTATGGGGTGCATAAACCCACAATGGTTCACCTAGATTGTTTCATCCAAATTGGGTCAAACATTCTTTTTGATGGGGGCAAGGAACCCTGCATCGTTTTGTCCAGGGAAGGTTCCATGATCCAATCTGACGGTACGCCAGGAGATGTTCCAAGGGTTGTACATGGAGCCACACCCGAGGAACGCCTCCCGATGCGATTCATAAACCTGGTGAGTTTGGGTTTCTGGAATTGGTTTCCAGGTCCGCCGCAAGGCAAAGGTTTTCCAGTTGGCCGAAAAGAAATGGACGGGTGATGTTTATTTGGAGAAACCCCATTTGCCCCGAAAAGACTCCCTGGCTTTTAAAGAAAAGTAGTTGAAGATCCAAGTAGGTGGCAAGGGTTGAACATCAGTTTTGGGAGCTTACACTTTGGCAGCGCTTGCATGACTATCTCGGAAAGTCCGGGCAGCTGTTTTGCTCTTTGTGAGGCTTTTGCGGCCTCACCTTGGCCCTCCTTTGGGGGGCAACAGTTGTGCAGGTTTGAGGGCAGCCCTTTGTTGGGGTGGTTTCTCCGGATTCTCAACTTGGGCGCTCCCTCATTCTCCGACTCAGGAGAATGTCCTCATGGATCCTGGCTGCCGCGCCAGGGGCCGGCTTCATGTCAAGGCAGGCTGTTTGTGCGTGCAGCGAGCTTTGGTGCTCTGAGTGAGATCCTCCTCGAATTTTGTTTGTCGGATCTCACATTCTTTGCGTTTGGTTCTCATTCAGACGAGGCCTTCCAATGTTCTCCCAGCACATCAGGAGCCGGAGGTCAGGTCTTCCAATGTGGCCATGGCTTTGTGGCCAGGCGGCATGCTCTTCCGCATCTCTCGCTTAACCTAAGTAACCCCCGGGCCTCACAATACCCTCTTCTATTTGGTTGGTATTCACACACACAAAACGGCAAAAAGAAGAGGGTATTGGGAGTCTGCCACCTGCAAAGAAGAGGGTGTTATCACAAGACCCTGCAAAGTCTGCCACCTGCAAAAGGCCGCGTGGAGGCGACAAAAACACGTTTGAAGGTGGCAGACTTTGGGGCGGCGCGGCGGATCTCCGACGAGGAGGTGACCATCCAGACGCTTCCCTACCGTGCCCCGGAGGCGAGACTCCGGGGCCATGGTTTTTTGGTGCCTCTGTTTGGGTAGGTTTGGTAAAGGAACGCCAAAAGGCAGCCACCCATTTTTTGGGGGGTTCCCGGTTCCCCCCAATTTTTGGAGACATGTCCTCTCCGATGGGATTCACCATGCCCAGGTTCTGCTGGGCGGACGTCGAATCTGCTGCAAGGTGGATGCTCGGGGAGCAAGTCAGAGCTTCGCACATTGGGTTTGCCGGAGATCCATGACCGAAGGCGTGTTCGATCCTGCGGTTTTTCCAACACCACGGCATGCTGCTCCTGCAGGACGCCGGTTTTTCCAACACCACCTGCTTCCCGCATGTCCTTGGTGCATGCTTCTCCCTGTGCTTTTCCACGCCTCAGTGGCGGTCGTTGAAGCCGGGATGAGGATGTTTGGAGCCTGGGCGCCATTTGCATCGAGCTCTACACCGGCGAGCCTCTGTTTGACCACCAGTTCACGCAGGAGGAGGTGGTGGCAGGCGGGGAAGTTTTCGGCGGAGAGCCGCTTTTGGGGGTAGCGTGCGAGGGATGTGGGCAGGCATTGATCAGCTGCTGGGACCTATCCCGGAGGAGATGCTGTGCAGAGGCGGCCAGCCGCATGAACTCTTCGAAGGAATCCCGGTTCGAGGTTCTGCCGGTACCCATGTGGTGTCACTGAGACCGGGCTCCGAACGGAGAGTGAGGCACACGCACCGCAGAGTTCTTCGAGCGCACGATGCACCGGACCTGCAAGCGCCCAGCCCAAGTTCGGGATCAGCTTGGTTTGACACCCAGGGAATGAGGGAATGACCCCAAGTTCCTTGTGGTTTCCTTTAAGGGGATCCCAACACCCAGGTCATTCCCTATGGCGCCCAACTGAGGCCACCTGGCCGCCTGGCTGCCGCTTGGTCGTGGGTACGATCTCTCTTCCGAGAGCCAGAAGTTCGGTTCAGGCAGGACCTCCCATCTTTTTTCAATATGACTCGCACAGGTTTTGTGCATGTCTTTGCTGGGCAATTCGCATCGAACAAAGAAACAGACGCAAGCACGAAACCAGACCTCCGTCCAGAGTTGAAAGAATAGACAAAATGACTTCAGTAAAAGAAAGTGTTGATTGTTCCAGAGCGTGTGGTAGAAAAAAACAACCCTGATGAACATGTACCTCTCATTTGGCACAATTTACATATATCGTGTATGTAAATTGTGCCAAATGAGAGGGCTTCAGAGTTTCCAGATATAGATGTGTCCTAGAGCCCGAGAAGCGGGGTAAGATGGGTTAATTTCTTGTCTTTTTCTTTCACTTTCCTATCGCTTACCATCGATCCACAGAGAAACACCTCAAAAAGAAGAAATAGAATGAAGAATGCCATTGACGTAAGGACTCAGCAAACAACCTACATCAAAGAACCATTTCAACCTTAATATCCCAACTGGCGCAGGCCATATGAAGAATCAAGCCAAGCCGCAGGTTAGGTGCATGGGACAAAGTCAAGGCGAAATTTTGGGCTTGTGATCTTTTGACCCTTTTCCAGGTTGGTCTGGGAGACGAACAGGAAACCCCGGCCATGTTTGGTTGGGTCCCTTTGTGACCCACTGCGCCGCTGTGGGTGGTCGAAACGCCGACCGACGCGAGGTTCCCTCGCCGATGCCAGGCACCGACCCCGCGCTCCGCGGGAGCAGCGGAGCTTGAAGCAGGGCTTCCGTGGGCGGCGCTTCGACCTACACTGGCGCCGCGGGCGGGCGCCTGGGCGTCGCAGGGAGCAAAACGGAGGAAGCTAAACGGAAGTCCTGGGAGGTTGGTACGGGCACTCTAAGATGGGGGGATGGGGGGAAGGTTGGTAGGTTTTTCCTGACTGGCCAGGAGCTCCCATGTTTTGGGAGTTTGAAAGGGGAAGAGGAAACCGCGGCCAGGTGCCTGATTTGGAGAAACATCTGAAAGACGCGTGAAGAAAGTGGAGGTTTTTTAGCAGGGAATGTGGGCTGTGGGTAGAAGCAATCTCTGGGCATGTTGATTCTCGGTGAGCAGCCAAACACAGACAGGGTGTCCACATTTACAGAAAGGCTGTGCGCGTTGGCCATTTGCTCCCTTCACTTTCAGATTTTGGGAAGATGCTCTTTTCAGGGGACCTGGGCACTCCTTGGACATCATGTAGCGGATTTATGTCCACCAATCATTTGTGAGGGTATTGTTGACAAAACCCAAAACCGAAAAAAAAAAAAAAAAAAAAAAAAAAAAAAAAAAAAAAAACAACAACAACACACACACACACAAATAACACCAAAACAAAAGCAACTATTCCAAACAACCAAAAAACAGAGAAAAAACAACAACCACACCAAAACCAGCAAGCACAGAAAGCTGTTCGAGCTGCCCAGTTGCTCTGTGCCGTTTTTGGTCCACGCGAGGTGAGGCGCTTGGGGAAGAGCGAGCTGCGGCAGCAGCTGAGGCTGCGGAAGCGGCTGGAGGCCGTGGTCTGGAGGCGCGGGACGCGACGACCATTACTTGTTTTTTTTGGGTTCCGGGCACCGAAACAATTGGAGACAGTCAACCATGGTCTTGTTTTTGGGAAACCCCGTTGAAAACCAACACAGAGGGGGCACACCAAAAAGAAGGCTTTGCTGGTGAGGTTCTATGTTTTTTGCTGGTTTCGTGTGTTTGAATGTGTGAAACGCTGGGGTTGTTGACCTTGTCGGCTTTGCACAGGCACGACAAACAAGGAACCTGGGAGAGGACACACAAGATAGCAAGTGTGCAAAGATAGAGAGCACCCCATTGAAGCCTACTGTTGTGCTTGAGCTTGTTCATTCTGATATCGCACACTGTGGGGGGTTCGTGATCGGCAATCCAAAGTATAGCTCTTGGTTGTATTCCTCGTTGTTTTCCTGAATGACTATTTGCACATGTCGCTTCTATTTCCCCAGATAGCTGAAAGCTATAGGGGTTCTAACTTCTAATAAAGAGGGGAAAGTGATTTGCGAGATTGAGGGCCGGGTGCTAGGGGGCATGCAGTTTGAGGTGCTGGTGGATGCTGCTTTGCGAGCTTGACGGCCGGGTGCTAGGGGGCATGCAGTTTGAGGTGCTGGTGGATGCTGCTTTGCGAGATTGAGGGCCGGGTGCTAGGGGGCATGCAGTTTGAGGTGCTGGTGGATGCTGCTTTGCGAGCTTGACGGCCGGGTGCTGGGGGCATGCAGTTTGAGGTGCTGGTGGATGCTGCTTTGCGAGCTTGACGGCCGGGTGCTCGGGGGCATGCAGTTTGAGGTGCTGGTGGATGCTGCTTTGCGAGCTTGACGGCCGGGTGCTAGGGGGCATGCAGTTTGGGGTGCTGGTGGGTGCTGCTTTGCGAGCTTGACGTGCGGGTGCTAGGGGGCATGCGGTTTGGGGTGCTGGTGGGTGCTGCTTTGCGAGCTTGACCGCCGGGTGCTGGGAGGCATGCAGTTTGGGTGCTGGTGGGTGCTGCCTTGCGAGCTTGACGGCCGGGTGCTAGGGGGCATGCAGTGTGGGGTGCTGGTGGATGCTGCTTTGCGAGCTTGACGGCCGGGTGCTAGGGGGCATGCAGTTTGGGGTGCTGGTGGGTGCTGCTTTGCGAGCTTGACGGCCGGGTGCTAGGAGGCATGCAGTTTGGGGTGCTGGTAGGTGCTGCTTTGCGAGCTTGACGGCCGGGTGCTAGGGGGCATGCAGTTTGGGGTGCTGGTGGATGCTGTTTTGCAAGCTTGACGGCCGGGTGCTATGCAGTTGGGGGTGCTGGTGGGTGCTGCTTTGCGGGTGCTACGGGGCATGCAGTTTGGGGTGCTGGTAGATGCTGCTTTGCGAGCTTGACGGCCGGGTGGGGGCTGCTGGTTTGCGAGCTGGCCGGCGAGCTTGACGGCCGGGTGCTCGGGGGCATGCAGTTTCGGGTGCTGGTGGATGCTGTTTTGCGAGCTTGACGGCTGGGTGCTGGGGGCATGCAGTTTGGGGTGCTGGTGGATGCTGTTTTGTTTTTCGAGCTGGCCGGGTGCTAGGGGCATGCAGTTTGGGGTGCTGGTGGATGCTGTTTTGCGAGCTTGACGGCCGGGTGCTGGGGGGCATGCAGTTTGGGCTGCTGGTGGATGCTGTTTTGCGAGCTGGCCGGGTGCTAGGGGGCATGCAGTTTGGGGTGCTGGTGGATGCTGTTTTGCGAGCTTGACGGCCGGTTCTAGGGGGCATGCAGAGTGGGGTGCTGGTGGGTGCTGCTTTGCGAGCTTGACGGCCGGGTGCTAGGGAGTTTGGGGTGCTGGTAGGTGCTGCTTTGCGAGCTTGACGGCCGGGTGCTAGGGGGCATGCAGTTTGGGTGCTGGTGGATGCTGCTTTGCGAGCTTGACGGCCGGGCGGGGGTCCTGTGGGTTTGCGAGCTGGCGGCCAGCTTGACGGCACCGGTGGCCTGCGGGCATTCGCAGTTGGCAGTTTCTGGGTGCTGGGTGGAAATCTTGTTTTTGCGAGGCTTGACGGGCCGTCTGGGTGCTGGGTGCATGCAGTTTGGGGTGCTGGTGGGTGCTGCTTTGCGAGCTTGACGGCCGGGTGCTAGGAGGCATGCAGTTTGGGGTGCTGGTAGGTGCTGCTTTGCGAGCTTGACGGCCGGGTGCTAGGGGGCATGCAGTTTGGGTGCTGGTGGATGCTGTTTTGCAAGCTTGACGGCCGGGTGCTATGCAGTTGGGAGTGCTGGTGGGTGCTGCTTTGCGGGTGCTACGGGGCATGCAGTTTGGGGTGCTGGTAGATGCTGCTTTGCGAGCTTGACGGCCGGGCGGGGGTCTGCTGGTTTGCGAGCTGGCCGGCGAGCTTGACGGCCGGGTGCTCGGGGGCATGCAGTTTCGGGTGCTGGTGGATGCTGTTTTGCGAGCTTGACGGCTGGGTGCTGGGGGCATGCGTTTTGGGTTGCTGGTGGATGCTGTTTTGTTTTTCGAGCTGGCCGGGTGCTAGGGGTATGTAGTTTGGGGTGCTGGTGGATGCTGTTTTGCGAGCTTGACGGCCGGGTGCTGGGGGGCATGCAGTTTGGGCTGCTGGTGGATGCTGTTTTGCGAGCTGGCCGGGTGCTAGGGGGCATGCAGTTTGGGGTGCTGGTGGATGCTGTTTTGCGAGCTTGACGGCCGGTTCTAGGGGGCATGCAGTTTGGGGTGCTGGTGGGTGCTGCTTTGCGAGCTTGACGGCCGGGTGCTAGGGAGTTTGGGGTGCTGGTAGGTGCTGCTTTGCGAGCTTGACGGCCGGGTGCTAGGGGGCATGCAGTTTGGGTGCTGGTGGATGCTGTTTTGCGAGCTTGACGGCCGGGCGGGGGTCTGCTGGTTTGCGAGCTGGCCGGCGAGCTTGACGGCCGGGTGCTCGGGGGCATGCAGTTTCGGGTGCTGGTGGATGCTGTTTTGCGAGCTTGACGGCTGGGTGCTGGGGGCATGCAGTTTGGGGTGCTGGTGGATGCTGTTTTGTTTTTCGAGCTGGCCGGGTGCTAGGGGCATGCAGTTTGGGGTGCTGGTGGATGCTGCTTTGTGAATTTGACGGCCGGGTGCTAAGGGGCATGCAGTTTGAGGCGCGGGTGGATGCTGCTTTGGTTGTACCGGGTGCTAGGGGGCATGTTTGGGGTGCTGGTGGATGCTGTTCGCGTGTAACGGTTCGTGGCTGGTGTATCGTCATGATGTTCCCACGTTATGGTGTGTGGGTGTAGTGGCGCCGTGATGCTGTCAACATCAGGATGATGCAGAATTTCATTAAGCTGTCGCAAGATGGTTCGTGGCTGTGGTATCATCATGATGCTGCCTTTACCATCAGCATGATGCTGTTCGCATCACCATGATGCTGTCCGCATCATCATGATGCTGTCCGCATCATCATGATGCTGTCCGCATCATCATGATGCTGTCGAACTCATCAGGACCTCGTTTTTGCTTGTTCCTGCCGGATTGCTCTCAAAATCACTGATCTCATTAGGACGTTGTCTGCGCGTTTGTTTCGTGGCTGTGGTGTCATCATGGTCTACATCATCATGATAATGCTGCGTCATGGTTCGTATCCGTGGTGTGCTATCTGGGGTCTATGCTGGTGTAATTTTTTTTTCAGTTGAACACCTGTCGACAAATTGTTTCGTAGTCTGAGCTATATTTATGGATTGAACCATCCGTGACAGCAGTTTTTTTTGGCAATGCAAGAGTCACCGTCAGACCTGTTTCGCCTAGTCGCTTCCACATGTCGGAGCGAGACAGGATGCTGGTGGTCGATCCGGATGCGCGTGGGACTGCGAGTGAACTGCGCTTGCTGCTCGGTTCGTTTTGAAGGCAAGGCGAAACCCAGGGTGTGGGTCAAGAAACAGGTACCCAAAATGGAACCCTGGCAAATGACAAAGACAACCTGCGGTCCGTTTCCTGGTGGTTTAATTTTGACTCACACCCATCTCTTACAGCTCAGGAGCATTTTTTTCGCCTCGCCCAAAGCGGGCGCCCAAGGGACAGAGTCGGGCTTTCTTGCCTGGCCTGAGCAGAGTGCATGCCCTGTGAGCATTTCATGACGCATGTCCAAAAGGTGTCTGGCTATTCTCTCAGCTCAGTGCCTGGCAGTTTCGGTTCGCGATTCCCAAAGTGGAAAAATCCGACATGCGAGCAGCTCGCGGCCGAAAGTCTTGGGAGTGCTTGCGCGTGCTCTTGCTTTGCCTTGAATTGCTTTTGTTTGCTGACGATGCCTCCCGGACCGTTGGTCCCTTGCTAGTGGGTTTTTGTGTGCCAGCTGACGCCAGCTCACTTGTATGGGTATGGGTCAAGATTAAACCTTCAGGGGACCGCAGGCTTCAGTCCATGCTTTACCAGGGCAACCCATTTTGGGGTTACCCAATTTTACAGTGTTTCAAATGGGCGCATGGTTGGTTTCCTTTTGGTTTCCCTTTCAATTCGACAAACTGGGGGTTGCCCCAAAAAACGGACACCCAGATCTGTCGGCAGGGTCCAGGCGGCGCAGCAAAAGGCGCCCCAGCTGGCGGGGTCGGCCCAGCGCATCGCGGGATGAACTTTCACTCAGTTGCCCAAAGCGAATCGACCTTTTAAGCTTTTATGGACCCAGTTTTGGGTCCATTTTCAGTCATGGCCCCCAAAGGTGGAATCGCCTTTCATTTTAATCTGGGCGCCTAAGGGGCAAGTGAGTTCAGAACCTCGACCACCTTGGCTGCCAGTCCGCTGGGCTCCTCATGTTTTTTTGCTTTTTGGTTGGTTTAGCGGCTGGGTTTCCATTGAAACCAACAGCTCAAGTTTCGGGGGATCCGAGCTTCCCAAATGGGAAGCCAGCGATATTCAGGTCAAAAGATGAGGCCTCAATCAAACTTTGGGTGGAAGTTTGGTAGGGCAATAGGTGCAGCAAGAAACCCTTCTCATTTCTTTGTGCTTTGTTCGAAGCAGTGTGTATTTATTGGGTATGGTCACTAGAGCTGTATGCATGGCATTCACCATTCCTTCGGGCATCCGGCGTCTAGCAGACCTCGGACATGGTTTTGGGACCCATTGTTGGGAGAGAGCTCATTGAGCAGACTTGACGAGGCTTGGAGGGAGACACCTGGTGCACCCCGTTTTCGTCCCCATGGCCATGCGCGTCTGAGGCTGTGGGCTTCACGCACACCGCGGATCTCTTCAGTCCTCTGGAAGGAGGGAGGCCGGCGATGGCATTGTGACTTTGAGCTGGGGCTGAGAGGAGTAGAGAAGCACTCCACACACACAGATGTCCAAGGTATTTGAGCCACAGACACACGTATACATGTATACATAAATATCAAGCAACGTAGTGTAATGTAATGTAATGTAATGGAATGTAATGTAATGTAATGGAATGTAATGTAATGTAATGTAATGTAGGAACCCCGGGTTCCTGTGAAAGGAGCCAGGGCCATGCGGAAAGTGTCGGAGCTTCGGGAAGTGTTGGCACTGGGCACCGGCGTAAATTTGCAAAGGTGGTTCACTGGAGCCAGGTATCGAACCCCTCTTTCGAGGTCAGCGGGGAGCTCAGGCAAAGAGGGAAGTTCTCAATATGGGTATGGGTCAAATTTAACCACCTGGAAACGGACCGCAGGTTTTAGTCTTTGTTTCCATTTTCCGCTTTCCATGCTGCATACCTATTTTTGACCCCCGCCCATATGAATCGGGATGCCCGATTCAAGGTCGCCCCTGGTGCTCACTAATGTGGATGGACAAAACCCAACAAAAAATGGTTCTGCATGGTTTCAAGGTGGTGCGAAATGGATTTCGGCCATCGGTAGCAGTGGCTCCCCTTGTGTGGCTCTCAGCCATGTTTTCAGAAATCGCGCCTCGACCAAATCCTGCAGATGCCTTCTTCCCAGGAGCCGACGGAGCCCTGGTTTTGCAGGGAGGGATTTTTTCCCAGAGAGATCTAGGACGTGGTTTTTTCCGAGGGGGGGTAAAACACCAGGCGGCTCCATGACTCAGTCGAGCTCAGGCGAGCTCACCAGCTATGGCCACCTTCAGCCGGCATGCCAGAGGCTTAGGACGGTTCTCACAAATCCATGTCAAAAAGACGCTCATAGAAGATCCCCTGGCAAGTTGCAAAAATAGCCCCCCTCCCCCTCCAATTTGGAATGCAGGGCCTTGTCATGCGAGAGTTGCTTGCGATTCAGAGTGAGATGGATTTCCAATTCCATGTGCTTGTTGCCCCATTTTCCAGAGACGTCAGCCCCCGACGGAAAGGGGATGCATCTCCCATTTGCGAAAAACCCGCAAAAAGACACCCATGTACACCCAAAACCGTGGCACCTTCGCTCCGTCGCAGACCCATGGGTGCAACCACTCCACAGTCCGTTTGCCGCTGCCTCAGAGCCATGCATCCGCAAAAAAACACAACGCCTGTCCTTTTTTATATTTCCCTTGAAGAAAAAGGACAGGGTGCCAACTCAAAAAGTGAAAAATCCACATTGCCGGATCAGAGATTTGGCGGTTCGGGGTCGGGATCAAGGTTTTAAGCGCTTAGCGGTGGTCCATTCGGGAGGGATCTGCGCCTCTCTTTGAGTTTGCATGGGTGGTCAAACAAAGGTATAGTCCCTTTTGGGACCCGTTTCGGACTCGTATTATGCCAGCCTTCAAAGGGCATCCAAATCGATGTTATCCTTTTTTGACTGCCTGATTGGAAAGCGTAAATGGGCCAAACTGGTGGTCATGGATTCCTCTTGCCAAACTCGCCAACCGAAGGCAGAAGGACAATCCTCCAACAAGGCTATTCCTCTTTTTCCCAGGGAAAACTGGTGCTGGCAAACCACTTGTCGACCCTGATAGTTGTTTTGGGGAAGCCAAAAAAGAGACGGCTGTGGGTCAAAACCAATGGTACCATTTTGGGCTAGGTGCACCACCCATTTTAGTCTATTTTAGTGGGGATTGGGATGTTCACTAGGGCCCACTAGGGGTACGGGATATTGACCCATGGCCAGATGGGCATTCGTTTGATTTTTCCAGAACTCCGCCCCAGCAGCACCCGTGATCGCTTATGGCAGGACTGGGGGTACGGGCTTTTCCAGCCCAGAGGGCATGCAGCCGCTCAGAGGCAGGATGTTTTGGGAATGTGCCCCGCTTTTTTCGGGGTTTCTATCTAGGAAACGGCTTGGACGCGGTCTTTGTGGATCCACCTCTGTAGGATATTAAAAGAGTACTAAAAAGCAACCTACAGGGGGAAGAACAGGTGAAATCCACAAAAAACGCAAATCCAAACCGTTTTCTAGATTCCAGGTTGCTTTGAAGGAGATCCAAAAGGAGAACAAACCACAACTTTCAGGGTTGATTTGAAACCTACCCACATACCCATGATGGACACAATCCAGTTCTAGATAGGTGGCTTGTCATGAAATTGAGCTTCCATTCCACAGGTTTCGGGGGAACTCAGAGTCTATGGGCGCGCTGACATGGCGTAACACGTTTTGCTCGCTTGGGTTCAGGTGACGATTACCAGAATGTTCAAGACCTCACACAAAGACGACAAAAAGAAAAGAAAAAAGCAAACAAAGCAAAGACCACAAAAAGACTGTTCAAGACCCCAACTAAGACCGCAGCCTCTTGGGCGAGTCGACCGTTTGCTGGGGCTGGGGCGCTTTCGGGCAGACTGGGGCGCGAGCTCGACTTTGGAGGTACCCACCTGCCGGGCTACCAGGGCTTCGTGCCAGGGGCCCGGAAAAAGAATAATATATATTTTTTTAAAATGTTCATAAGGGTCACACCCGAGGGATGCGTTTCTGGATCGCGGCTTTTTTTTTTCCCTTGAAAAGAGGTGGTTCCGGGCTCGGACTGAAAAGTGTCGGGGTTTCTTCCCACCAATCGGAGATGGGTGAGCATGGGCGAAAGAGTTGGAGCCGAGGGCCACGCGCCGCGCCTAGAAACTCATGCTGAGCATAGAACAAAGCAGGCTTTTTTTTTCCCGGCGGTCTTTCTTGTCCAACTTGTTTTTCCCAAATGCCGGGATAGACAGGAGCCTAGATGCCTGGTACCCCGTGTGGCCCTGGCACGCCGCTTTTCCCTTTCAACTGCTTCCCGGTATGACAAGAAGCAAACGGCCTGCCTGGGGTGGCAGGTGCAAGAAGGCAGCGCTGTCCGAGTTTTTGGTTGGACTCCCTACCTCACTCGCAGAGTCTGAGGCCCGGGTTCACCACGGAGGTGTTGGCCAAGCTGGCGAGCTTCCGAATTCCATTCGAGAGGCCAAGAGGTGTGTGGATCAAAGTGTACCCGGCTACCCTTGGGCTTGGTTTAAGGGACTAAAAGGACAATACACAAGTCCATGATGGGGGTCCGGCTATTTCTGCACAAGTACATGCTTTGTTTTTTGGGGGGAGTGAAACTGGCCCAAGTCTGGCCCATTTTTGAGGTCCCCGGCTTGATCATGTGTGCCAAAATCAAAACCCGGGTAGATGAAGGTTAGTAAGGCGTCAACAAGGCGAGTGGGCGAGTCCTCGCCATCCGCGTGGTTGGATTCCGCGCCAACCGAACATTTCAGGTGAGCCACTTGCTCAAATCCCGGGCATTAATGAAGGTTAGTAAGGGATAATCCCCTTGCCATAAATAGCTGCGGATATCCGCCTTCTTACTTCCTTACATGGTTCTGGGCTTGGACCATTTTAGTACCGGGTTTTGATTTGCGACTCATGTGCACAAGAGGCGTCTAGTCGGCTTCCGTGCGCGCGCGTGTTCCATGCATCGGCCAGTCTGTGGGCAAGGGCTTCACCAAGGCCACCATGGTGGTGGCCTCAGGAACAGCTCCAGTGGGTACATTGGCAAGTTGGATGTGGTATATATATATATATATATGTGGTACCCCCTATATCCCGACGGTCGCACTTGCAGGCGGCGTTTCGCGCATGTGAAATGCAAATCTTGTTTTTTGACCTTGAAGAAACGCCTTTCAAAAACGCTTTTTGAGTTAGCTGAAGCAACTTGTAGCAAAGTGTTCCCTTGGGCGTGCTTGCTACCATGTTGTGATGTGGGATACATCAAACGGAGGGTTCCCTTGGGCGTGTTTGCTACCATGTTGTGATGTGCGATACATCAAACGGAGGGTTCCCTTGGGCGTGTTTGCTACCATGTTGTGATGTGGGATACATCAAACGGTTCCCTTGGGCGTGTTTGCTACCATGTTGTGATGTGGGACACATCAAACGGAGGGTTCCCTTGGGCGTGTTTGCTACCAGGTTGTGATGTGGGATTCAAACGGAGGGTTCCCTTGGGCGTGTTTGCTACCATGTTGTGATGTGGGATACATCAAAGGGAGGGTTTTTCTTGGGCGTGTTTGCTACCATGTTGTGATGTGGGATACATCAAAGGGAGGGTTTTTCTTGGGCGTGTTTGCTACCATGTTGTGATGTGGGATACATCAAAGGGAGGGTTTTTCTTGGGCGTGTTTGCTACCATGTTGTGATGTGGGATACATCAAAGGGAGGGTTTTTCTTGGGCGTGTTTGCTACCATGTTGTGATGTGGGATACATCAAAGGGAGGGTTTTTCTTGGGCGTGTTTGCTACCATGTTGTGATGTGGGATACATCAAACGGAGGGTTTTTCTTGGGCGTGTTTGCTACCATGTTGTGATGTGGGATACATCAAACGGAGGGTTTTTCTTGGGCGTGTTTGCTACCATGTTGTGATGTGGGATACATCAAAAGGGTTTTTCTTGGGCGTGTTTGCTACCATGTTGTGATGTGGGATACATCAAGGGAGGGTTCCCTTGGGCGTGTTTGCTACCATGTTGTGATGTGGGATACATCAAACAGAGGGTTCCTTTGGGCGTGTTTGCTACCATGTTGTGATTTGGGATACATCGAACGGAGGGTTCCCTTGGGCGTGTTTGCTGCCAGGTTGTGATGTGGGATACATCAAACGGAGGGTTCCCTTGGGCGTGCATGCTTAACATGGTTGGTCATGGATACAGTCAAACCAGGGTTCCCTATGGCGTGCATGATTTGCATGGTTGGTCATGGATACAGTCAAGCCAGGGTTCTCTATGGCTAGCATGCTTAACATAGCCTCATGGATACAGTCAAACCAGGGTTCCCTATGGCGTGCATGCTTTACATGGTTGGTCATGGATTCCGTCAAACAAGGGTTCCCTGTGAGGAAGTGCAAAATGTCACGAACCGACCTCTTTTGCTGAAACTGCCTGCGGATCACGGTTACAGTGTGCTTCGTGAACAAAAGTCTCCAACATCGCGCGATACGGACGCGCACTTTTGAACATAGGTACTAGAACGAAGCAGACCTCAAAACATGGGCAGGCGTGGTGCTTTCGATCATACCACAAGGAAAACGGAGCCTGTAAACGCACCCGTGAGGATATATAGATATATATATATATATATATATGGCCATGGGTCAATAACCTATGCCTCCAAATTGGGGCGGATGAACACCCATGTACCACCGATTTTTTGATGTTCAGCAAGGGTACAGGGTTTTGACCCACAGCCAAAGATGTACATATATATATATATATATATGTATTATTGGACCCTGGATGCACATGTTTTGGAAGACCATTGGTAACTCGTGGCCACTCCATTCAAGTGATTAGGCGTTGGGACGCCTACGAGACGGAGTGCAGGCGCCACTCTGTCAAAGCCCATATTTTGGGCAGGTCTCAAGAAGAACATTTTTTTGCTAGGTTCTTAAAGTCAAGAGGAAACCGTTGCTATAGGGGACCAGGATTTTGGGACACATGTACGTGACTATGCCATGAACTTGGTGGCCAACTCGAGGTGTGGATGGCAATTGGGTCACTGCAACTTGCCCAAGAGACGCGGGCCACCCAAAGCTTTCCGCACGTCTCCCTTGGGCACGAAATTGTGCTTCCTATGGATCTTTCTGAGCATCGGGGCCAAAAGAAGCCAATCCCCAACGAAGCCAACCATAGGAACCCCTCATTTTGAGAAGCAATGTCTTTCCGGAGTTCTGTTCGGAAAGCGTGGCAAAAGGGCCACTTTTGTCGGGCCTGATTTTGACCCCATGTGTCTATGAGTTGGACCCCCCTCAAAACATAGAACACACAGCCCTAAGGATGACCATAGGGTCCCCACTTGAAAGCCACACCCATGTCAGCCTGGCGTTTGCGCAGGGCATACCGCGGCCAACTCCTTTCTGAGGGTTCGAGCTGCGAGTCACGCTGTGGGGTTTCACCGCTTCTTTTTTTTTCTTCCTCGGGCCGGAGGCGCCACGGGCGAGTGTTTTGGGGATAGAGGGATCGTAAAAGAGCTGTTGGGTCGGACGGATTCGGAACATTCGGCAGGTCCTTGGGTCGAAAGTCATGCTGAAAGGCGCCTGATGGTTCCAAGGCTGTTGAAAGTCCGCGCGCGTCAGTGGCCCGCGGACTCCAGACCTCCGGGCGGCTTTTGCGAAGCAAAGTAGCCGTGTCAGGACATGGCCATGGGTCAAAATCCGATACCCCCCAGTGAACAATCCAACACCTAAAATAGGTTCTAAAATGGGTGGTGAATTCACCTACCAACCAAAATGGTACCATTGGTTTTGACCCACAGCCGCATTTGTTCAGTCTGAACAAAAATTCGTGCCACCCAAACATTGCTCCTAGTTCTTTGATTGTCTTCAGTCTGAAAAACAAACTTTCCACCCAACCAGCGGTTCCTTGTTTGATTGCAGACATCTAAAGA